CAATAAACTTAATTTAAAATAAATAAATAAATAATCAATCCCAGCAAAAGACAAAATATTCTTCCATATGGATCTTCAAAATATGGCCCTTAGACTTTAGAGTTCAAGACTAAATCCAGTATGGGAGTGCAGGGAGAGAGAAGAGGGGATTTTTACTTCTTACTAAGTACTTCTGCATATTTTAATTTTTTAATTACAATTTTAATAGTAAAGACAATGAGAAAGACTCAGTGCATGTTTTATATATTTGGAGATTTTAAAGTTTGAGGTTTGGTATAGCTCAGGGCAATTACATCATTTATTAATTACAAACAGACTAAAGCTTCATATATCAATAGGCTTCAGTTCAGTCAACTTATTGATGTGCATTTTGCCGTACCTAGCCAATTTATGCTAGCACTCACCTTAGATCAATGTTATTCTTTTTCTTTTTCTTTTTTTTTTGTACTGGGGATCGAACTTGGGTCCTTGTGCTTTCGAGGCAGGTGGCGGAATCACTGAGCTAAATCCCTGGCCCTCAATGTTATTCTTAATAAATGGTGGTACATAATTTTTAAAATGGCTTTTTTTTTACCATCTAGCATTGTATCTCATCTTTTTATTGTGCTTTTTTCTGAAGAGCTGAATTATAATAAAGTCATTTGCTAGTGATTCTGATTGATTTATCTAATTTAACTCATCAAACATTTCTTGAGGGCCCACAATGTGCTAGGCATTATCCCCAGCACTGTAAATACAGAGGGGACTAAGGCATGTTTCAACAAGAGTCAAGACAATTTCATGGGAAGAATTATTTTGACAAATGATGCTGGGACAAATGAATATTTTCATGTAAAAGATGAACATTAACCATACACAAAAATTAGCATACAAAAAAATTAATTCAAAAAATAGACCTAAAGGGCCAGGGATTTAGCTCAGTGGTTCTGCTGCCTGCCTTGCAAGCTCAAGGTCCCAAGTTTGATCCCCAGTACCAAAATAATAATAATAATAATAATAATAATAATAATAATAATAATAATTAGACCTAAATGTAAAAACAAAATAGAATAATAACATTCTTGGAAGAAAATGTAAGAGTAAATCTTTGTGATCTTCAGTTTGTCAATGATTTCTTAGATTTGACACCAAAGATACAAGAGAAAAAGATTGATAAGTGGGCCTTCACCAAAGTTTAAAAATTGTGTGCTTCAGAAGACATCACCAAGAAAAAGAGAAGAAAACCCACAGAGCTGGAGAAAACACTTGTAAATTATATATGTTACAGGAGACTTGTATCCAGAATATTTAAACATTTATGACTCAATAATAAAAAGGCAACACAATTTAAAAGTAGACAAAAGATTAGAGTAGATATTTCATCAAAGAATGTATGAATGGGAAATAAGCACATAAGAAGCTCAACATAATTAGTCATTAGAGAAACACAAATCAAAACCACAATGAGGTACTATTTCACACTCACTAAAATAGCAATTATCAAAAAGACACAATATCAATATTAGCAATAATTTAGAAAAATTTGCAGCCTTATAGATTGTTGGAGGGAATGTAATATGATATAGCCACTTTGGAAATGGTGTAGAAGTTCCTCAAAATGTTAAACATATACTTACTTACCAAGTTACTCAGTAATTTCACTTTTAGGTATAAACCCAGAGAAGTGGAAACATAAGTTCACAAAAAACTTGTACAAGAATGTTCACAGAGGCATAAACAGCTAAAGACCAGAAATAAACCAAGTGTCCATCAACTCATGAATGCATAAGTAAAATGTACTATATCCATATAATGGAACATTATTTGACAATAAAATCAAAAGAAGTACTGATACATGTTATAATATGTACAAACCTCAAAAACATTATGCTAAGTGAAAATAAATCAGTCACAAAAAGACTACATATTGTATGATTCCATTTATCAGAAATGTTCTCAGTAGGTGAATCTATGCAGTAAAAAGAAGATTTAGAAGTTGCCTAGTTGGAGTGACAGCTAATGATTATGAGCTTCTTTGGGGATGATGAAAATTTTCTAAAATTAGATGGTAATGACTAAAGAGCTCTGTAAATATATTGCATTGTGCGTTTTTAAGAGACTGAACTTTATCGTATACCAATTATATCTCATAAAGCTGTTAAAAGTCAGTATAAATGTAGGAATAGCAGCCACGGTCACGTTGAAACAATATTGTCAGTCTTTCCTTTCAAATCTTTTCAGTAGGTGCTGTCAATTAAAATTTGACTTTTTTTAAGCCTGCCCTAAAATTATTCATCAAAACCAGAAGCAGAGTATCCCACTGCTATTACCAAAAACGATGAAACTGTGATGCACTAATGAGATCTGCATAAAAGAAGCCCTTCTAAGGTTATATGATTTCTTTAAAAAGTAACCACTAATTCTGAAAAGCATAAGGGTGTTGATTTCTAAAGAAAAAAACCACTAGGTCTGAAGTAAGCGCGGTTTTAACTATGGGGATAGTTTGTTCAACACCAGACATCCTGACAAAATGTGTGACCATATGTATCACAATAACATCTCCTCAGCTCAGTAAAAGAGCTGAAGACATTTCTAATAGAAACCTTACTCCATTCTATTCCTCCAGGGACTGAGCTTGATTCTTTTTTAGTGAGATATTCCCCAATATTGGGACAAATTAGATAATGTCTAATTCTCACTTTCCTTCTCAGCTAAAGAAGTGATACCGTCAGTATTTAGAGTTGTGACATTAAACAATCAGGGAAAGCACAGTTATAGGCCTGGAAAGAGCCAACAGCCCCTGTCCCACCAACCCATGTCCTCACGCCAGCCCCACATGCCAGGCGGAAGCACAATAAACCATTCTCCACAAAGCAGGGAAGAAAAATAGAGGCAGCAGTTTTTGTGTACCTGTTTCCCTCCTGATCTCCACTTGCACTTGACTTATTCTTAAATAACCCGAGGAGGTAGCCAGAAAGTAACTTGACGGGTGGTCAGTTTTAGGACTTTTTTTAAAGCTTTGATTTTTAAATCTTCCATTTTTAAATATTTTAATTCCAATTTAAATTTTTAAATCTTCCATTCCTGGATACTGAAGCTAACATTGCTGCTGATGAAAAGTCTTAGCTGAGACATTCACAGTCTCTTCTTGTGTACTATGTTCTGCTGGTGACAAAGCCCTGGTCCCACTGACCCTGCAGACTTCCAATGTCCCTCTTAACAGCCCTAGCAAAATAAAGCATGCCCACTGGCATTGAGTGATATTCACTGCTCTAGCTTGTGTTTAATTTTCTAATGCAGAGCTTTGAAATGTGAACAAAAGGGAAGAGAGAAAACCACATCCTTTGCAATCTCCTATATAGGGTGAGCCAGTTGAGAACCAAAACTAGATGTTTCTGTTGATTGATGTGGGGACACCCACCTGCCACAATGAGAAACTCCTATGCATTTCTGGCATCTTCTCTCTCTATTGTCATTTTTCTTCTGCTAATTCCGGAAGGTAAGACTGATTCTTTTCATGATCACTAAGCAAAGTGGAGCCAACTTTCAGGGACTCTGATAATAGTACCTTATGGCAAAAGGGGTTTCTTCCCAAAATTTTAAAATGTTTAGCAATCTTTTTTCAATTCTTTTCCTGAATTCTTTATTTTAGAAGAAAAATTCTTTTCTTCTTTATATTCTTCAAAAGATAACAAAACCACCAATGCTTATTGCTGCCAATTTGTAGGTTAAAAATTACTTAAAAAGACAATGTAAAGATGAGCAAACAGCCAAGGACGGTGGACTGTCCTTGGAATCCCAGCGCTCAGGAGGCTGAGGCAGGAGGGTTGCAAAGAGTTGAGTTTAGCCTGGGCTACATAGTGAGTTCAAGGCCAGCCTGAACTACACAGCACACCCTGCCTCAAAAAAAAAAAAAATCAGCAAACAAACACAAAATATTTTTGAGTTAAGAAAACAAGTTACCTTTCAGGAAAAGAATACATAGGTTCATACACTCAAGTTCTTTTGCTTGCCTCTGACCAAATCAAGGAGAGCTATTGGGGGGGGGGGCCTAAAAAGGATTTATCCAAAGCTACCTCCAAGGAGATGGGAGGGGACCATTTGCCTCACATCACCACCTCATCACGTGCAGGTGTTAAGGTCTTTTATAACAAGGAAGGCGCAGGAGATACAATGAGCTAATACACCTGTTCAGACTTGTTCCATCCCTTCCCAGCTCCAGACCTTTCCCTCTTCTGCCTAAGGAAATGAAGTTGGACTCTAACCTCCAGGTGCCAGCATCTACAAATATTGTCCATTCCTCTGGGCTGAGGAGACGTGAGGGTGGTGGTTTATGTCCTAGATTTGGAGAAGCCACTTATCCTAAAGGAAAAAATATTAACTTTGAAAGCTCCATTTTTCAGTGCTGGTTACAAGCTCAGCCTTTCTGCATAAATGCATGGATAATTTTATACTAAAGAAAATTAAGACAAATCTGAACTTGACACTGAAAGTGAATCCAGAATGATTAGAATTTTTGTAACTATAGTATTTCTCTAGCCTCTCCTTGGGATACATCAGGACATTAGAAAAGTCTTCACATCAACTCTCCAGGAAAGCTATAGTATTTTCTGTTGAGTTACTAAATGGTAACCAATATTCCTGCTTTTCTATGAGTTCTACTTGCAGGGGTTGAAATGTTATAAAGGTTGTAACATTGTCACTGGAAGAGAAATACAGTAGCTTCTGAGTGGTTCTAGATTTTCTGTGAAGAACCTAGTAGGAAGTAAGTTTTACTTGGACTAGGGTAAAACCAGCTGACAAATATGGAGGCAGCCAGCAATTTTCCCTAGGGCCCATCAGCATTTGGAGGTTAAAATGGTGGGCAGAGTTTATGGAATAATATGAATGCCAGGAATTTCCAAAGAAGTTCTCTGGTTTATCTTGCACCTAAAACTAAAAAGAAAGTGTAAAAGAAAACAAGGTTGCAGGACAGTTGAGACTAAAGGGTGGGTATATTACAAGCATAGGATGACCATACTAAGGCATGTTAAATCCTCCTGAAAATGAGATCGATTTTTTTTCTTAAATTCTTTTATTGGTACATTTTAGGTATACAATACATTTACATTTATCATTGGGAACTTGTACCTTTACATGCTGTATCTTGGTTCTTATTATTTCCCCATTCCCCTGCCCTCCCTTCAACTCCTCCACCCCTCCCCATTTACAAAGACTTTATTTCCATTTTTTCCTTTTCTCATATTTTTTTCCTTTCCCTTCTTTCCTTTCCCCAACCTCTTCCACTTCCCCTACCCCTTTGAACCTTTTTTGACTATTTCCCATTATCAATTATTCATTTTGATACTTATTTACACTTTCAGTTTCTCACACCAGAGAAACTATTCAGCATTTACACATATGTGTCCTATTTATTTCACTTAAGAGTATGGCCTCAATGTGCATCCATTTAGCTATAAATGTCTCTAGGTTCTCGTTCTTTATGGCTGAGTAGTACTCCATTTTATAAAAAAACACATCATCTTTATTCAGTAGGAAACAGAGTTTTTTTTAAATCCCACTGTATTTTATCCTCAAAGGGAACAACAAAAGCTCTTTGCTCTGCCCTACTTTGTTTCCCGTGTTCACAGAGAGCAATGTGAGCCCACAAGGAGAAAAAACAGCTCAGCAAGACCTGAGGCTCTGAGTTAGTGGTCTCAACCCTTCTACACATTAGCATAATCTGGAGGACATTTAAAAAATATTAACATCACACCACCAGCCTCAAAAATTCTGATTAAATTTAAATGTGAGTGCAGGCCAGAAAATGCCAATTTTTAAAACCTTCCCACCTACTCCAATCCCTATCTTAGACCCCTTTAAGAGTGGTTGATGAAGTTCAATCCCCGGTACACTCCCCCCCCCAAAAAAAGAGTGATTGATGGTAGATATGGACTTATTCCTGAGGCTGGTATATGCAGTCAACCAAACAAACATGCAGCTCTACAAGATAGTGTCCTATTGAGTTTATGATTTCTGCATCCCAGAAAGTCCAAAAATGCACCTTTAGAATTATCTATATATGACTCACCCTAGAAAAAAATGGGATGTGGCTGAGGTTCTTTCGGTTTCTATAAATTCCTTACCCTTTTATTTCTAGAGCCTAGGATTTTGCCTTCTCAGCTCCCTTATAGAAACCACAGGCCTGTGGTCATTCTCTTCCTCTTACCTTCACCCTCATCATTCCTTATGAAAAGCTTCTCTGCGTTACTGATAACTCACTGTGAATTTGGCAATGAATTCACTTTAATTATAGACTAAGAAGGACTATCACATATTCAAAACATCATGAATCTCAGCCATCTATCAGGAGAGATATTTTAGGAGAATCTGAGAGCATTTTCTGTAGAAGGTAGTGAGCTGAGAGCCCATCAATCAACAAGACACAAAGTCCTTTCAGCCAGGATGTATGGTTTGTGTTGAGTTTAGGTCTCACTGTTCTCTAAGGACATAATCCTAGCCTATCATCAGGGCAACTTTACTAAGACAGAATCCTCTACTTAGCTCTCCTCCTTTCCCTTACCTTACTCCAAAAGCCTTAGATTAAACCATGTAGTTTGGTCTGTAAAATGAAGATATTAGTGTGATAGGTGTTATTCTCTCAAAGTTTGAGCAAGGATAGTACAATTCAATAATGGAAAGTCTCAATCCCCAAAAGACTCACAGAGGGTCATAGCTAAAAGGTGCTAATGTCAGTTTGTATGTTGTGCTTTCATGAGAGGTTGGGGTAAAAATGGAAATTTCCAGAGTTCTAAAATCCCCTCTACTTCCCCAAATTAGCTCAAAGCCAGAAGGGGTTTGGGGCACTCATGGTCATCAGCATCTCCTGCAGCAATTGCTACTGGTGTGGACCAACCTATGGCTCTCTGCCCTTTTCACATCCTTAGGTTAAAGGTTTGTGACAGATTTCCAGGCTGATGATCCCTGGAATACAAATGGCATTCATTCTGTGAATGGAGAATCCAACAGGGACAGGATTTACAGTCAGATGTCTGCAGCTCTACATGGAATAAAAGTAGGGGGAAACACTTTCATCCATGCTGTCTCTCCTGGAAGGAAAAGCATGTCTGGCCTTAGAAACATGGTTGTATAAAGCGCTTTGGGGTGGACTGGTATGATTTATCTTTTCCTGCTGAACAGATGCCTGTATAAGAATTATTGGAGGAAATGAAGTGGTTCCTCATTCAAGACCCTACATGGTTCTACTTAAACTTAATAAAAAAGACATCTGTGCCGGTGCTTTGATTGAGGAAAACTGGGTGTTGACTGCAGCCCACTGTGTTCTGTAAGTGTTTAAGCCTTTTTTAAAGAGTGTGGGAATATTACATGTTTTCATATTACTTAAGTTTTTGGGAAGTCTTTGAGAACTTGCTTTAGCCCAAAAGGAAGTTAAATCCATAAATAAGACAATGAGGAAGCAGCAGCTTCAGGCTCTTTCTGAAGACCATTCAGGTACAGGTATTGCAAATAGATTAGCTACAGCATGGGAAGGTCAACTTTCAGTGATCCCTTGGAGGCCCAGTCACAGCCATCAAGTAGAGAAAGCTTGGTCCAGTGCCTTCGGGTGTCCTTTCGGGAACCACTCATTCCTTCAGCCATCTCTTAGCCTCTTAGTACTTCCTTGAAACCTCTCCCCAGGCCTCTAAACCTGAGCTGTTCAATATGACAGCCACATGTGGCTATGTAAATTTAAGTAAAACTAAATAAAATTACAAATTTACTTCCTCAGTCACATACTGGCCACATTTCAAGTCCTTAGTAGCCACATGTAGTGAGGGGCTACCATATGGGACCATGCAGATTTATAGAACATTTTATCATCAAAGTATGCTCTACTGGAAAAAAGAATTCAGATGTGTTATGTACATGTACCAACTCCCCGTGATGAACATAATCACTATGTACTCCCACCATGTACCAATAAAAATTTTAAAAATTTTTTAAAAAGCAAAATATGGTCTACTGGAAAGTACAGTTCTAATATTTCAAGGGAAACTAATATCCACTGTATAATGGGAGAAAAGGCAGTAAAAACATTAGTTTATTACATAGCTTCAGGTCCGTAGCCAACCGCTCTTCCGCATATACCTGCTCCCCTTCCACTCCCTCCATGAGTTAACTAACACAGCATGAGGCCCTCCTCAGAAGCCAAGAAGATGCCAGCACCATGCTGTTGGACACCAAAATTATGAGCCAAAGAAAATTTATTTTCTTGATAAAGTATTCAGTCTCTGGTATTTTGTTAAAGCAACATGAAATAACGTAAGGGGATCATGATAATGGATTTCAAATTATCTTTTTACCCTTTAAAGCACACGTATTTCTTCAAATCACAAAGTATCTCCACAAAAAGCATATTTACAAATGATAGAATGAAAATGATCAATTTCTAATATTCTCAGCTCCTGATTAAAGAACAAACCCAGTAAACAGTGTTATGTCTATTCCAGGAACAAAAAGCCCCAGGTCATTCTTGGGGCTCACTCAAGAACTAAGGATGAGCCAGAAAAACAGATAATGTCAATTAAGAAAGAGTTTATTCATCCATGCTATGACTCAACCACATTTGAAAATGACCTTAAACTTCTTCAGGTATGTACCTTTGAGGTCTTGAGTCAGAGAAACTCCTAAAACCTGGCAACCTACATGGAATCCCCTCTGCCCCTACTGAAACAAACTCATGTGAGGGAGTCCCTGTAGGTTGAACTAGAATTTAAGTAAAAATGTTAATATTTATCTCCTTCTACTACTTCTTTGTGCTTGTCTTCCAACAGCTGGACAAAAAGGCAACAATTAACAAAAATGTGGCTACCCTGCAACTACCTAAAAAAGGAGATGATGTAGAGCCAGAAACTATGTGTCAAGTTGCTGGGTGGGGAATGATTTCCAATAAATCACCTCCGTCAGATACTCTGAGAGAAGTCAATGTCACCATCATAGATAGAAAAACCTGCAATGACCCACAGCACTATAATTTTAATCCTGTGATTGGACTGAATATGATTTGTGCCGGAAGCCCTCATGGTGGAAAAGACTCATGCAATGTAAGTAAAATAAGATCCCCCATGTTGACTATTAGAGTAAGACACATAGTTACAATGTAATGCCATGCCAGGTTTTGTCATGGCATTGGCTTCTACGGTGTCCTAGTGATTTGTGAAGAAATTTTGATAAAAGCCTAGTCAAAATAAATTAAAATACTCAGCTTTAATGAGTCAATAAAAATAAGTTCACTACTAATACATGGGTTGATCCACTGCATCTTAATTGTACACTAAACACCACTAAGAAACAATGGTTTTTCTCATTTTTCATATTATCACATATGGATCTAAACTTGAAGATGCTGTATATACAAAACTCAGGAGACCTGTAGCCAGGACCCCTCAAGGGAGTTCTGACTCCTTTCCACCTAAGCACCACCCCTAAAAGTTTCTGTGCCATTTTACCTGGGCATATTTAAAACACCTGTCATTCCCAAGTCTGTCTAAAAACTTTGAGCTAGATCCCATGGTTTCCTAGACCTGGGCTCAATCCCCAGAAGACACCTTCCAAGTATGACCCATACCAGAGAATGTATGTTTCCATTTTAGGGTTCCCCAAGAAGGATGAAGGACAGAGCCCTACTGAAAGACAAGAGTGAAATAAACACTTTACAGATTTTTAAAGTTCTGAATACTTGTAATTTCTCATCTTTGCCAAAGACCCTATAAAGTCACCTCAAGCAGCTGCAGTGCACATGGTTTGGAGGTTACCAGAAATTAACAGATCTCTATCTTTCCCAAGAATTCAGTCTTGCCTTCAAGACCAAGGCTGCCAAATCCCAGGCAGAGATGGCATTGTCTTTACCACTCTTTCACTTTCTCTTTACCTTCTCTTACCTACTCCCTAACACATCCTCCAATTTGGGCACCCAGGAACCTAGAACTTCCTGTTTTGGGAACCCACATGCAACATCCTGAGGCCATGGCCACATCCCAAGATAGGAGTCCCTGTGCCACCAGACACTCTCTACCATTGAAGCTTGACAATCCTTCCCTGTTCTCTCAATGCCCTCAAGTGGCTATTGACAAATTAATCACAATGCACTAATTCTACAGATGTCACTCTAATGGGAGAAATGTATTCATGGAGGATCCCAAGTTATCACATTGTTCTTTATTTCATACATTCCTAAGACCAATTTTTCCCTAAAGGGGTTACTTTGATTTTGTTTCTTTGGGATGACAGTTATTTCCTAAAAGAACCAGAAAACATGGATTTTATTCTTTGTCTTATTGTATCATCCGCATTTGACTGTTTTACCCCTTGAATTATTAAGCTTTTTAAGAAAATGACAAACAGGAGGATTGCCTTTTTGGAAGCCGAGAACCAATCTCAAATTAGTGTATAGCAAAAACAATACGAGCTTCATTTCAATTTTCACTGGTGTATAAAAACCCAGTTTTAAAATACTAAAATATTTCTAAACATTTTTTATTTTTTAAGCATTAATTTTCAGCTAAGTCAAGGTTGGTCTTAATTTCATATTACACACTGTAAGAATTTCTTTCATTTTGCTATTGGTCATGATTGACAAAGATCCCATCTAATATCCACCCCTCTTCTTTTCCATAGGGAGATTCTGGAAGCCCCTTGCTGTGTAAGGGTCATTTCCGAGGTATCACTTCTTTTGGCTCTCCAGGAAGATGTGGAGACCCTAGAGCACCTGGTGTCTATACGCGTCTCTCACAAAAATACCTCAACTGGATAATTAAAACTATGAAGGGGACAGTTTAGATAACTGTATTTCACTTCATTTGTTGTCGTGTCTTATAACAAATAAAATCAGTCTGTAACACCATGCCTGTTGCTGTTCTCTAATGATACTGAGCAGATGTCAAACAGCAAAATTACAGAATCACATGACAACTTTTGGATGATATAAAGGGGAGACTGGAGAAACAATGTCACCAGTGTCATCCCTGTATCAAGTATCATAGGAATTTTCTCTTGAATTACTCACTTCACTGTCCCACTGGGACCCAGCAAGAATGACACTAAGATCAGTTTTGGGTTTTTTTAATAACAAATACAGTGTAAAGCTCAGCAATTCTGCAGGAAACAAACAGTCTGGAGTATTTAGGCAAAAGGGAAGTAAGTCTGTCCTTAAGGCCATTGTTATACATCAATACCTGATATTTTTATTTATTTGAAATAAGTTGAGTCTATGGAAGAAACAGAAATATGAAATGACTTTCAGTATTTTCCAAAGGCACATGATGAAGAATAGAAATTAAAATTCTAGGGGATGTAAATGAAGTACTTGACCAACCAAGAAAATTAAACAACAGAAAGTCAGCCTTCTCTCTTAGGAGTCTGCATTCAAGTCTTGGACTATCTGTTATTTCTTGGTTTTCCTTTCCCTTGAGTCTCAGTGGGTCTAATTAACATGGTTACAGTGGTTGCCACTGCATAGTAAGGAAGGAGTGTTGAATTGTGCAAAGTTTCCTTTGGAAAAAGTTCTATAATGTTTATTCAGTATTTTGAATTTAGTAGTCATCATCTCAGCAACCATTTTAAGATGTGATCATGTGATGTGATGTGATCATATTCCTTCAATTTCCATCAGATTCTTTACATGGGGGGGGCAGTGCTCACACACACACACACACACACACACACACACAGAGCTCTTAAAGAAAAGAACATAGATGGGCTGGGGATTTAGCTCAGTGGCACCGTAAGCTGCCTCCCAAGCACAACTTCCTGAGTTCAATCCTCAGTACCAAAAAAAAAGGAAAGGAAAGAACATAGCTTAGACTGACTAAAATACCAGTCTCTGGTGTTCAGCTGTAGCTGACATCAGACTCACCAGACTAAAATTACCAATGCCCCCAGATCCACCTCTAGGGAATCTGATTTAACTGATACTTGGTTGTGCCAAGAACACAGTATTCTGTATATGAGCTTCCCCAGTGATGCTAATATGCAGCCAGGGATGAGAAGCCCCACAATAAACAGTGAAGTCTGGTGCTAAATTCAGAAAGAGAGGATTCAAGAGAGTCACTAAGATGATACTTTAGACACTTGCTACAATTTTTTCTCCCTAGTTAAGATTTTAACTGCAATAAGCAGATGGAAGCCAAGTGTGGGTGGCACTGGCCTGTAATTCCTAGCACTCAGGACGTCAAGGCAAGAGGATTGCTGCAGTCTGGGCTGCATAGTGAGTTCAAGGCCAGCCTAAACTCTGTCTCAAGAAACAAAAAACAAAAAGTAATATTTAATGCTAGCAATATTTATTACAGATTTTAAGCTCCCCATTTTTAAAGTACTTATATGGAACCTTCATTTGTTGCTCATACAAGTGTAAAATGGTACTTCTTAGGAAAATTAATATGTCTATTAAAATTCAAATATACATCTCCTATGATCTAGCAATTCCACTCTAGGGTATGTACCAAACTGAAATGGATGGTGTTGTCCACCAAACATGCATTCAGAATAAAGCATCAGATTTTTATTCTAAAAAGTAAAAAAAAAAAAACCTCAAATATCCATTCAAAATAAAATGGTTAAAAAATTATACATTTCTATGATATAATGTTGCACAGCAATGAAAAAGAACAAACTTTATTGCATACAACACAAACTTCATGTTCTGTTACATATACAAATATACATGTACTGTCTTTTTCATTCACTCAACATGAAGTTTGGGTGATAGATACACAGCACATGATTCCATTCATCTGAAGCTTGGCATAAGGAAAAATCAATTCATCGTAGAAGTCAGCGTAATGGAGGAGTGTGCACTGGAAGTGAGCACCAGAGATCCTTTAGGGTACCAGAATGTTCATGTCTTGATCTGGATGGTGCTTACATAGTTATCTATTCATAAACTAAAAACTTATGAAACTCTACACTTTACACTTTTGTATTTTACTATATGTACTGTATGTGAATTATTACTCAACAATAAAATTTTAAATTACAAAATTTAAAAATTAGTCGTAACCAAGGCTTCTATTTTATATATTATCTAGAAATTGATTTTTTCTTTACAAGAACAATATCCCAAACTTCCTACTAAAACTAATAGCAGGTAAAAAATATATGTATCCATATTTTTCTTAAATGAGAGCTTTTTGGTCATGACATAGTGTTGTGAGACTGTTAAAACAGATGTACTCAGAAACAGAGTGGTGTGAAATACTGGATTTGTCTAATCATTTTGCTTATCCCCCAGCTAAACTTTTTCTTACACATTATATCAGTTAATTAAGAAGATCACATTAAAACTATTAGCTTGCATTGGGGATATAGCTTAGTAGTAGAGTGTTCATCTAGCATTGCAAGGGCAATCCTCGGCACCACAAAAAAAGCTGTTACCTTAAAGAAAAAGAGTATGCATTGTAAAGTATATGGCATTTGAAGCATTTAGTGGTCTGAAAATTTCTAAGAAAAGAATTACTGGCATCAAGCACATTTTCTGGGTTAAGAAACAGGAAATCAGTATGGAGATACCTCAAAAAACTAGGATTAGAGGTCCTGTTTGACCCAGCTATTCCTCTACTGGGTATCTTCCCAAAAGTATTAAAAGAATCATCCCACAGTGATATAGTGTAAATAAGGATCAAACTGTATAATAGATAATGTGAAATAGGAAGAAAAGGTCCAAAGGGGAAGGGGAAGGGGAAGTGAGAGGAATGGGAGAAAGGAAAGAAGGGAAAGGAATAAATATGAGAAAAGGAAAAAATGGAAACAAAGTCTTTGTAAGTAGGGAGGGGTGGAGGGGATGAAAGGAGGGCAGGAGAATGGGGAAATTTTTTTAATTTTAAAAAAATTTTAAAAATCAGGAAAGAAAAGAATTTATTGGCAAATTAATACTAGTTCATCAAGAGAGTCCTAACTCCCATTGTATATATTATCCCACTGTTCAATTATCAAAATTTATGGATTTGGGGGAGATAAAGGAAAAGATATACATTGATATACACCGAAATATCTAATCTATGCTTCCTCATCACCCCAATTTAATTGTTCAGGGAACAAATAAGCATATTAAGACTAAAATAATAAAGGACTGGGGATGTAGCTCAATGGCACCGTGCCTGCCTGGCAAGCACAAGGTCCTGAGTTCAATCCTCAGTATTAGAAAAAAAAAGACTAAAATAATCAAATATTCATATATAAATACAAGATTTAAAAAACATCTACTATAACACATTAATATCAAATATGTGATACAGACTACTGGCAGGACATCAAACCTAGATAACATCATTTTTAAATACTTCCTGTAGAGGTGTAAAGAAAAGGGAAAAAGAAGCAAAAATTCCAGGCTACATGATACTTAAAAGGTATCAAGGCAGAAAAATCAAAAGATTTACCTAAGAATTAATGTAGACAAATGAGTGGAAATTAATATTAAATGGATACAGCAATGGACTGAGCAAATTTGAAGGAGCCTTAGCAGTGATCAAGCACAGAGTCATATTCATGCAGATGTTGCAATACATCCAAGGTCGCACAATCTGTTTAGTGTAGAACTGAGACAAGAATAGGAGCTTGAACTTCAGGTCCTGGGCTCAAGACTCCAGAGGTTGATGCCCAGGGGGTTAAATAATAGAATGTCACTGAGAGTTTATGAGCAGGGGGCTGACAGGATCAGCACACTGCTTTCAGAAGTGTAACCTAGCAGTAGTGTGAAGACTCAAGTAGACTACAGACAAGAGAATTAATTAGACTGGCCACTATGTATCCAGGCATGCCTAGATAAAACAGAACAAGGGTAAACCCAGGAAGTGCGGGGCCGAACACTCAGGAGGCTGGGTGACCAGGACAAAGATGAACCCATTAAGAGTGTGCTATGGTTTGAAAGTGTCCCCAAAGTTCATGGTTGAAAACTTAATCCCCAGTGCAACAATGCTGGGAGATGGGGCCTAATAAAAGATGAAGCCTAATAAAAATCCATGAATGGATTAATGTTATTATCATGGGAGTAGGTTAGTTGTCATGATAGTAGGCATGTTATAAAAGAGATCCTCTCTCACACTCTTGGATTCCTGTATGTGCTCGCCTGTTCTTCTGCCTTCTGCCATAGGATGGCACAGCACAAAGGCCCCTACCAGATGCCAATTTCATGCTCTTGGACATCTCAGCCTCCAGAATCATGAGGTAAATAAACTTTTATTGTTTGTATCTCACCCTGCCTCAGGTATTTTGTTATACCAGCAAAAAACAAATACAGAGGGGAAAAGGAAATCTACAGAATCACTAATTTTAAGAGAAAAAAATATGCATGCTTACAAACCATATAGCATATAGGAGGACTTTAATAAGTGTCTATCAACTGAATGAGTTGTGTTTTCAACAAACTGAGTTTGAGCTAAAGATGGTAAAGGACCTCGAAAAGGAAATATTTAGAGGCAGATAGAAATATAAGGTGAGAATTTAGAAGAATCAGCTGGGAAAGAAGTATTTAGAAATCTTTGCTATGGATATTATTCTGATTGATACAGTGAAAATGAATCTTTAAAAAGGAAGAAAGAGAGCAGAAGGCAGAAGAGAAGGAGGTGGGGGAGGAAGGAGAGAGAGAAAAAAAAGAAGTCAAAGATAATCTCTGGGAGACGCAATGGGAGGAAGCAGTGAATAAAGCAGCCTGAGAAAGAAAGTCAGAGAGAAGCCATTCACATTGGGAAGAGCACTTCATCGTGTTTGATACTTATTATCACACAGAGAAGAGAAACTGATATCATTATCCTCTCTTAGGAATGATGTCACTGGAACTAGGAGGGCCTGGGTGACTGGTGGCATTTCCACACGCAAGCTGTTCCATCTGCTGCAGCAGAAAACACCCGGGTCTGGTCTGGACTCAAAGCCAGGTGCAGCACTCTGCCTCTGTGGCCTGGAAGAAGAAGGAAGACTGTGGGCATTCCACATTCAAGGGATATTGCTGAGGAGCATAGGCAACCGAAAATGGGGCCTCACGCCCTCTCCCAGGATAAAGGGCTTCCCCCACCAGCCAGACCTGCCTCAGGCATCATTCTCCGTGGCTCAGGATGCACTCAGTATCTGTGGCTACCATAACAAATGACCACAAAGTGTGTGGCTAAAAACAATAGACACTGATTCTTTTCCAGTATGAAGATGGGAAGACCAGAAGCTGTAAGGAAGATTGGGTGCTTTGCCTTTTCAGGTTTCCAGCAGTTGTTGACAATCCTTGATTTGTACCCACATACTTGTCTCTGCTCAGGTCACCTCCTCTTCTGTGTGTCTGTTTTCTCCTGTGTTCCTCTTATAAGAACACTTCTCATTGGATTTAGGGCCCACTTGAAAAATACAGGACAATCTCAAGAAAATTAATTTAATTATATCTTCAAAGACCCTTTGTTTCAATAAGGTCATATTCACAGGTTTTACAAACTTGACGTGGATTATCTCTTAGGAGCTAATTTTTAGCCTGCTCTACCATTCATGCTTCATATTGCTGTTCATTCTATTTTCTGTAAGCTACTAACACATGTGGAATGCCTTTGTTGGGCTCCTGCCACCCATCCCATCCCTCCCCTCAAAACTATTCCTAAAACCTATTCCTTAAACTATTACTATTCCTTAAACTAAAAACTAAACTAAAAACTAAAACTAAAACTAAACTAAAAACTAAACTAAATTTAAACTAAAAATATTCCTTAAAACCTAAAGGACTTAGATTTTAAGAAACTACTCAAATAACCTGATGCACTTTAATTCAGAAGGACCCAAAACACTCTCCTACAGAGCATGCATAAGTCTCATTTATGAATTTATGGAGACAATATTCCCTCCTTCTGTTATTTTATTAATTATTCCCAAAGAACATTCTGTAGCACACTAGCTTTATGTGAGGTTAATAAGTGTTAACAATGAATAGAGCATTTAATGTTCACATTATTTGAAAGCTCTGAGTTCATATAATTAAACATGTTGCCTTATTTCAGAACTTCTTAATTTCAGGGGTGCTATATTCATTATAAATGTTGGAGATGAGACTATAATAGGCAGAATTTCTCAAACTACATAGTTTTCTTGACTCAACTATCTCAAGGGACTAGTGTACCTTGGAAAATGTTTTGTAAAACTTAGCCTAACCCAATAATGACTTTAATGATCAAAACTTTAAGCCAAAATAGACAAAGATGACTCCTCACAATGAGGCTGGGGCTGGAAGGATGGGGGGATCAGATAAATTTTTGAATGAGCAGGTATTTGGGGCACAAATGAAATCAAATCAGGTGGGCAGTCACCTCTTCATGGGACCAGTACTGCTTACAATTAAATCGAGAGCAGGAATTAGAGACATAATCTTATGCTATAAGTCTCAGCAGATGAGTGTGTGTTTACTATTTCACTCCTGAAGGAGACCTACTTTAGATACTTGGGGGTTTTTCCAAATACACACATCAGTTCTAATACTGCACACAACACACACACACACACACACACACACACACACACCAGCAAAAGATCAGTAAGAGATCTCCCAAGGGGAACAAGGGATTGGCCCTTGGTATGTTGGTAAAGTTAGATTCATAGAAACAATACAGTCTCCTTATTTTATAGATGAAGAAAAAGATTAAGGGATATCAAATTTCTTGCACAAGATCACATAGCTAATTAATGGCAGAGCTAAAACTAGGGTCTTAGTTCAGTTCTCTAACCATTAGATCAAACTCCAACTCCAGAGCAAAGAAGAATCTCTCTTGAGGGCCACTATTTTTTTAATTTAAAATGTAAATGAAAGGCAACTTGATATAGCTGTTTTCAAAGGATAAAGATGACATTATGCTAATGCTTTTAAATTATTTTAGCCAGCTTATTTTAAAATCTAACTTTGTTCATATATCCATGTAACTTGTTCATTTTAACTACCCTAAAACAAATGCAAGAAAGTTTACTTTTTTTATCAGAAACAAGAAGTAACTCATTAGAAATAGAAAATGTGTACAGTTAATAGACTGTTTAATTAACAAATGTAACTTTAGCTATTTTTAAGGGCTCACCTTGAGACAAAAAACAGGAGAATTCTAGGATACTATCTCTCTCCTTCTTCTCTAAGTATTCTTGCTACTTTTTTCTCTATTACTGGGCACAAAGTTCTCTTATGAGAAGTATTAATATACTTGCAGTCCTAGGCTCACAGAGAAAAATGTTACTTAGAAATCTTTCTAAAAAGTCAAACATTTGCATTAATTTCTGCCAGGAAGCCCCAGTTGTGTGGTTCTTTAAATGTACCTTTCTATGCCCTGCACTAAAATACTGCTTTTAAATTAAGCCTAAGGAAAGGGTCTTTATTAATTCAATAAACATAACAGGCAAAAATACTTCATTTTCTCTTATGATATGTTAAAATGAAGTGGAAGGAAGAAGATAAAGAAATAAAAGGAATAGCAGAGAAAAGAAAGATCTCAAACCTTTTCCAAAGCAAGCTTTGAAAGTGTCTTGACTTTTTTAAAAACTGGATAGTTATTTCTATAACTTATTGGGTAAATGGCATTTGGATCGGAAACAAAGTCTTTCTTGATGTTCTTCTCTCACATCAGTGACAATCATAACTTACTAGATAGTGGGAAATGTCATTTTTATCTCAGACAAAGGTCCCCTTTGGGGCTTAAATTCCCCAGCTCCAAGAATACTGAAGGCCATGAAAGCTTTGTGTTTTTCATGCTGCTGCCATCCTAAGTGAGGCCACATATTGACACCTTTGATGGGGACTGATAAAGCCAACTGAAAGGCCAGGTCTCACCTGGAAGTTACAAAGTTACCTACTCTGTGACTGTGGTTAACAGGGTGAAGCTTAGTAAAGATATGATTATAATCTAGAATAGCTTTTTCCCAAACTTTCCAACCACAGCCCACAGTCAAAAGTATAGTTTATGTTGTAGCCCTATAGCTAGACACATATACATACCACATATAAATAACAAAAGTCTCACAAAGTAACACCTACTTATCCATTTTTTCCATTCTATATAAACTATTAACAACCACTCCAAATTTAAGATCCTGAGGAAAGGGCTTGGTTCTCCTTCACCATCATAGGCCTTACTTTCAAGAAGAATTGAAAAAAGTTGATAGAACTAAACTGAGAGAGAATAGTAATCCAGGCTCAGTGGTAGAACACAGGTTTACCAAGCACAAGGCCCTGAGTTCAATCACAGTACCAAAAAAAGGAATATCAGTCTGCTTTCAAAGGACAGATGTTCATAGAGGAAGCCTCATGATTTTTAGTGACCTTCCCACATATAACAATATCTAACCTGTCACCTTGACTTCCATGCTGCTGAATTTTTTTCAAAATAAGATGAGTTGTGATGCTAAATCTGGAGTTCAAAAACCATACAAGATCGCAGAAGATTTGACATTTTTAAGTGATACATGATTGTAGTCAAATTCAAAAAACACTCATGTAGATACTCCCTGAGGTGGGGTGGGTGCAGGGCAGCAGAAGAAAATTCTTTCACTTTGGGATTTTTCCACAAATGACAGCGCACTTTACTATAGGTACATGGCTTTTTATTCTCCCACTTACCCAGAAACCCACTAGGCCTGGACAGAGTGGGACAGGTCCACAGAATCACATCATTCTTAGGAGCACCTTGGCCTGTTGCAATCTCCTTTGTCTTAGGTAGCCAGATTAGGGAACAAATCTGTAATAACGACCATAAAATATAAATTTTAGCAATTTCTGATTCATTATGAATATATTTAAACTGATTCTAGACAGTATGCTCTGTCCACTACTCATCCTCCAGTCACAGCTGGAATGACGGTATTAGAAGAAGTATATTAGTTCTAATAACATTTATCCCAAGGAAACAAAGGAACAAGTATTCAAATAGGTATATATGCAATGAAGAAATTTAAGTGAACTATGATCATGGGCCAGGAATAGCTAAACTACTCTTGGGTTTTACAGTCAAAGCAGCAATGAGAAGGAAGAACATGCAGAAGAAAAAGAAAGAAAAGAAAAGAAAGAGAAAAGAAAGAAAAAAAGAAAGAGAGAGAGAAAGAGAGAGAGAAGGAGGGAGGGAGGGAAGGGAAGGGAAGGGAAGGGAAAGGAAGGGAAGAGAAAAAAGAATAAATACAGAGAGAAAGAAAAGAACTTAATTTTGATCTCACAGATTAAGAGATTTTTACCCAAAAAAAAGAAACTCTTGAGAACTGAAATTCTTATTGGAGTCAGTAGGGGTAAAGAGAAGCATGTTTGGGTAATATGTTTTACTATAATTTTTTTCATAAGATTCTAGAAGATCAGGATGAAGGCAGACTCCAGAGGAGATAATTTACCTGTGAGTTTGTGCTTGGAGTCTGAATGCTCTTTCCACTATTTATATCCAAAATATGTAGGCATCCATCCTTCATTCCTCCTCCAATAGCAAGGACCTCAGACTTCCAGGGACACCAGTCTATAGCCTTCAAATTTGCAAATAATAGTATAGACAGGTCAGCCTTGGAGAAGGTAGGTTCATGAATGTGATGCACTCCAGAAAGCAGAAGTCTCAGGGATACCCTGGGAGCTCTCCTAGGCCTCCTATCCAAAGAGCAACTGCAGCAATTACTTACCAGGGAGTAGGAGCCATTTGTAGAAAGGAAACCACCTACCTAATAGGATACTTCCTCAAGTTATACAATAACTTTGGATATTTTTAATACAGAAAAATTACTCAACAACATAGTTGAAAACTACATGCAATGCATCCTCTAGAGCAAAATCTGCTTCTGGAATAATTCATGTATGTTCTTAGAATTTGCTTCTGAAATGCACCTTTCTCTGGTTCATTTATCTGTGTTCGTGGATTCCAGCTGGTGGTCAGATAAAAGAGTGCTACAAGCAATTACTCACAATTCAAAATCTCATGTATTTTAAATTCTAACATATTTTAGAAAATAAAATTGATTTATAAATGACAATAGTTAACTCCAAAAACGGGATTTAGTATTTCACATTTTCATTGAAAATTGAATAGTAACTATAACTTTAAAGAATCTTTTAACAAATATTTCAGTTATATTTATCGATACTTCATCAATCATCCCAAAAACTAACCTCATTTTTTGCATATTTCCTTCTGTATGTAATAAATATTTTATAAAGTAGCAAACTTTGGGTTTATATTATCTTTCTATTATTTATTATATAAAGTCTTCCATGATTTAACATAATTTTTATAATTATCATTTATAATCCATCATGCTGTTGTATGCTAATTGATTTTATTCTAATGCTGTGTCCAGGTTGGTTTTTGGTTTTGGTTTTTTTGGTATGGTTTGTGTAGGATTGAGTGTCTTGGTTTTTTGCTTGTTTTTTATAAAGAGGAGTGCATTTTGTTTGTTTCATTTATTGTTGTTTTTTAAGTAACATATTCCAGATGTCTTTCATTTCTGGCCAATTTTTTAGATAAATTCCGAGGTTCAAAAGTGTAGACATAACATTTTCCTAACAGTTATATCTTTTTATAACACAGCATCAAATGAGTGTAATAATTTCTTCCAAGCTAGCTATTAAAAATGAGGAAAATTGTAATAACATTCACATGGTGCTCTGATTCCTTCATGAGTAGGTTTAGGTTCTTGCTCTACTTTAAAGATTGTAACAAACTGTATTTTCCAAAAACAGCTGCAACACTATCCACCATCCAACCATACATCTAGGACTTTGCCCATTTCTTCCATTAGGAAGTAGAATGTAACTCCTCTCCTTTCGAATCTGGGGGGACTTGTGACTAATTTGTAATCAACAGAATGTGGTGAAAGTGGCACTATGTAAATTTTGAATTAGGTTATTAACAGCAACTTTCACCTTGCTCTCTGAAGCACTGGGCCAATTGCCCAGATGCCCAAAGGCTTAAGGAAGCCATGTTGTAAAAAAGTCCAACCAAGCTCAAGCAATGTGGAGAAGCTCTGAAATTACATGAAGAGGGAAGAATGCCTGGCTGGTCAACAAGTGGTCCAACCCCAGCCCTTTCAGCTTTCATCACTGACTGCAACCTCATGAGAAACCTTGGGCCAAAACTATTCAGACAGGCCTTTCCCAAGTCTTGACCCAAAGAATCCATAAAAAATTACAAAATAATTTTGTTTTAGGCTACTAAGTTTTGGAGTTATCTATTACATATCAATAGATAATTAGCATAGATATCATAAATAGAACCTTTAACAATTAAATGTGGTTATAGTTTATACCAGAAAGACCAAGATCTCTAATTAGCCAAACTACATTCAAAGTAAAAAAGTTGGCTTTATATGGTCAATGAATATACAGTTTAAGAAATATGGTAAATATGTTTTCAGTCAAAATAAAATACTTATATATGAATCATACTTTATAGTTACCTGCTTTAATTATCTTTTTCAAGTAACCATTCACCTACACCATTGACTAGGCTGGAAAGAAGGCTATTTTATGAAACATAAAATCTTGCATTCAATTTTATAAGGCTCAGAAATCCCCTGAGTTCATGGATCTCAATTTTTTATATGATAAATATTAGTATCTGTTATATTTATTAATAATCAGTTTCTTAAATACCCTATTTCCAACTAGCTTTTACTAGATACAAGCAGTTTGGGCAAGAATAAAAGCTACACCATGAGAAGACTAATACAGATGTCAGCCTCTGAAGTCTACTTTAGTTACATGAATTCTCTAGTTAATGGTGAAGGCAAAGAGATATACATAATGACTATTGTTGTGATTCCTCATGTATTTAGCTGCCTGAAGGCTTGGCTTGATCTGGGTTCCAGAGACTCTTAGTGAAGAGGACTTTCATTTAGTAGGCCAATTTATTGTTTTTCAACAAGAAGTATCTGGACAACAGAGCCATACCTCGTGGACAATGGAGCCAGGCATTGGTCCCCAACCAACTTCACACCCATGGATTCTATGTCCTGGCCCCATCCATCTGCCAACTCCATCTTGGCTCTGCATTTTGTTTCCCTTCAGCATGGGGAATCAGGGGTACACACTGACCAATCTGACCATGGATGAGGCCAATGCCCAGGGAGAGAAGGTAAGCTTGGTGGGCCAGCAGAACCAAGGAGAAATTGTGAACCTGGCCAGCAGCACTAGCCCCAAGAATGGCCCACAGCTATTATAAACTACAAAACTAGCATAGAGTTTTACTCTGAAAGTGACTGCTTCACAGCAGGCTAGAATTGGAGGAGAAAACCAGTGCAGTGCTTACCATTTGCCAGAGACTGTTTAATCAGGTGGTCTTTTGGAAATGGATTAATTGTTTAAGGCTGAGCCACAGAACAACTACAGAATAATTCCACTTCAGTGTTTCCAGTATTACCTTCCCACAGGACTGGCTATAAGACAGTCAGTCATAAGAGATAGCCATGGATTGTTCACGGGCTAGACATAGACCCTCTAAGAAGTTAAATCTCAGGCTGAGAAAGATAGGCTCTGCCTTCCACAGTGAAAAAACAAGCCCAGTGAGTGTGGCTTCCAGAAGTGACTGCATCTGTAAGTGCTGGCATTAAGGCCAACAGTCTGCTTGAAACTCCACTCTGTGACTTACATTCAGCAGAGACCAGTGGTCTGAATGCTTTTCCTACCTATGAACAGGAGCAAGGACCCACCTCAGCATAGATGGTTGCCACAGTTTGTCACATACAGACAGGATAGCGGGGCACTTGGAGCAGGGGGAACAGTTAAAACACTCATAGGCCTTAAAGCTAGGTGAAGAAAATCATGACGTGCTGGATTCCAAAAGTGCAGATCCTGGAAAGAAACCACTCCTTCAAAAATACAGAGGAATTTTTTAGACTATTTTTTCTCTCATTTTTCTTCATTGGTTTTTTTGGGGATTTGGGGCTTTTATTTCATTTTTTTTTTTTTTTTTTTTTTTTTTTTTTTTTGGTACCAGGGATCCAGCTTGGAACCTTGCACTTATGAGGCAGGTGGTGGAACCACTGAGCTAAATCCCCGGCCCCCATTTTCTTTTTGTCTTCTCTCCTTTTAACCTTTTTCTTATTTTTCTTTCTTTTCTTCATTTTGCTTTCTGCTTTTTCTTTTCTGTTTTTCTAGTTTGTTCTTTTCTGTTAATTTAATTTTATACTGTTAATTTCCTTTTACTCCTCAATAGAATCCTGTCTCACTTTTCTCTCCCCTTTCTCATCTTCCACTGACTAATTTTTCATGCTTAATTCTACCATTCTTTATCCTCTCTATCTTTACTAGTACAACCAGTAAGCTTTATGAATCTTTAGATACTTAATTTTATGCTATTACTGCTGAATACTGTTCTATTGTCGGTAGAGGTATAGTAGCATTTAGTGGAATTTTCTGTATGTTAATATTTGGTTTGTCTTAGTGTTTATACTAGTGGAGGCAAATGTATGGCACACTTGCCACAGCCGACACGAAGACCCCTCTCTCTCAGCATGGAGCCAATTTGCCCCATCCAAGGTTTGACAAATTATTAGCATGCATACAACAGCAAAGATCACATTAATTGTGCAAAAGCAGGAGAACCTATTCAAATTCAATGGTTAGGTTCAATGTTGACCTTATGGAGAAATTTGATTTGGTTCTTGCCCAATTCAGTTTATGACCAGAATCATTGAAAGAATTAAGTTTGTGAACCAAAGTGCTACTGTAAAATATATATAATAGCAAATAAGAAGATAAATTTTTCACAAATGGAAGAGGGATCAAGAGATAGAGGGAGAGGGTGGGAGGAGAAAGGAAGAGTTTTTTAAAATATTAAGACATGTTAGATACATGTACCAACTCCCCACTCTGAAATGTACTAATGAAAATCAAAATTGAAGAAAATAAAAATGATAAAAACAAAGCATGTAAGAATGTAACTTACCTTTGCTTAGTTTAGGTTTTTCACCCATTTTTTGTTTTGCTTTATTTTGTTTTGTATTTTTTTTGCAGACAGAATATTTTATGTACATTTTCCCCAATTTTAAGTCATTAATAATAAGAATTTGGACCTAATATGATTCTTAATATTCTAAATATTTTTTTAAAAAAACAGAGCTACTGGGCCAGTACCTACAAACAAAAAATCTGACACATGAGGAATACAAACAGCATTGTCTTTTAGGAGAGTGATGGTAAAATCTAAAATAAATTCTTGAGAAAGAAAAATCTCAAAATATTGATTTAATAGTTTTCTTTTTATATGTAAAGGATCCATGGTGATCTCTGAGAAAAGAAAACCCAGAAAGCTATTGGATTTCTTACCTTGACAGCTGTCGATTGAGATATGACTTTTAGTGATTGGCCCTGTGCATGGGCACCTGGATCATGGGGCCATATTGTCAGCAGTCCATCACTGCAGCCACTGGAGAGCAGCCTGCCATCTGGTGACCACTTCAAAGCACACACAGCTTGCTTGTGGCAAAGTGTTCCAACTTGATGCTGGGCTGCACGAACATCATGATGATAAACACGGCCCAGTCTTGACCCACTACGTGAGAGTAAAGAGGCAGGTTTACATGACAAAAATAACAATAATAATAATCCCTACTGCTACACAAGCATTGACAACACGGAGGACAGTACACTTCAAAGGAAAACTACTTAAAGACCTAAATATGCATAGAAACTCCTTGGGTTAACAAGAATGGAGTATTCTACCTCGATGACTCATTTCATAAGTGAAATAGATTTCTCCAGCAGAGTTTCAAATCTGGAATTGAAAAGTGTCCTTTGATAGATGTCTCTAATGACCTTAAAATGATATAGATAGCCATGGAAAAGATAAATTTAGAAGACTAGTAGATTGTCTCAGGTAGTAATTTATGTACTGGATCTAGAAAATATTACTTTTTCTGGAATGTTTCATTTTATCTCAATGAAATGGTTTTAGTGTATATTTATAGTAAACACTACACATAGATATTTATTATCTCCTTTTCTAGCAGGTATGTTCCTGTTAAATTACAGATTCTTAGTTTTTGCCAGTGTTACTAATATGTAAAAGGAATTTAAAACTGTTACAGAAAACTGCATTAGGATTCAAATAAAATCAGTGGATAAGGTTTCTATTTACTCTGTGATTTAAATCCAAAAAAATGATTTAAAAAATTCTACCACTTCTTCAAAGATAGTTAACTCTTTTGGGAATAATTTTATGTTCTCTAAGGAATAACTTTCTACAAAAATTTCTGAAATTTCTTGAAGTCCAGTTTCATTTTTAGACTATGCACAATACAGAATAGCACTCTAATAATATGGGCTCTAAAACCAGACTACCTGGGTTCAAATCCTGACTCTGTCCCTTATTAACCATGTAACTTCAATCTAGTGTCTCAGTTTACTCATGTGGAAAAAAAAAAATGAAGACAAACCACATTACAGTGTTATTGCGGGGATTAAAAAAGATTGTGCACATAAAAAATATAGCACAGTGCCTGGCAGAGAGCAGTCCAAAATAGCTAATATTATTATAAGAAAGGATCTGCTTATGTTCTTCACGGATAATGAAACTAATCTCTAACAGTGCAGACTGGAAAAAGAAGTTAGGTACAGAATTGACCTAACTGCAACAACTAAGTGGTTAAGTTTGTTCTATAAACACAAGTATTAAAATTCCCAATTTACAGCTGAGCCACGTAAAGAAATTGTAAAAGTTTTTAGGATTTATCTAACTGAAATCTATCTTAGGAGATACAATACAGATATGAATGACTGTTAGTAAAAGTAATAAGTATTTAAGTAATGCAGGATCATAGAAACAAGTCATTTAGCTTTTCTGGTTAAAAAGCACTAAAATTACACCAGTAATTCTCAAAGTGATACATTATTAGCATCACTTGGGAAATTTGAAATGCAAATTACTGTATCAGCCTCCCTAAGACCTAGCAGATCAGGAAATCCAAGAATAAGGCCAGTGCTCTGTGTTTTAAGGGGACTTCCAGGTGATTCTGATGCACTTTTGAGAACCACTGAATGGGATAATCTATGAGGGTCCTCCCAACTCTGACGTGGTAAATCTGTAAATTGGAAAATTGGCCCAGAAAGCTTAACATATTCTGTAGTATTCTAATGTCCTATTTTGTTTCATCTTGCTATCATTTTTAAATATTACAGTTCTGCTTACTCAGTTCCCATAATCAATTGGTGATACAAACACAATTGGCTCAAACAAGATGTTTCTTACCTGCTAAGGATATAGTGATTCCAGCTCAGGGCCCCAACTACTGACAAATGACCCTGCATATTTCTCAGCCGCTTTTCAGTTACGACATCCCATAACTGAAAAAATGAACAAGCAGGGTTATATAGCATTGGCATTTTCATAATCCACTATCTTCTCAAAGATCTGACAGCTGATTACTTTTAATGTAGCCAATCCATTATCAGCTAAATGAAAACTCAGAACCTTTAATGCTAACCAACAGTTCTCCGTTCTGACTGTGTATTAGGATCACTTGGGGGAGTTTATGAAACACTATGGCTAGCAATTCTTATTTAATTGGTGCAGTAGAGCTGGGAATGTGTTTATTTTAAAGCTTCGCAGATGAATTCAACATACAACTAAGGACTGAGAATCATTATCAAACTTCTTGATCCTTGAAAACTGGGAATTTCAAGCTTGGAAACTCACTTAAAAGTTACCAACAAACATACAGATTGAGTATTTCTTACCTGAAATTCCAGGACCAGAAGTGTTTCAGACTTGGAGTTTTTCAGATTTTGGAGTATTTATATAGAATTTTACCAGTTGCACATTCCCAAATCAAAATACTCCAAAATCCAAAACTTTTATATTAATCTCTATGAATAAAATTTAAGTACCTGAACATTTCCAAGACTCAGAAATTCAGTTTACTGCCAAGAGACCCCATTCCTATCAGCTAGAGATTATATTCTGACCTATATGAGAAACAAGAAGTTTGGTATAAAAAGAAATCGTGACATGTCTTTCATAGCATTAAATATTCTTGGCAAAGGTAAGAAAGCAGTGAGAATGATCCAGGGTCTTCCTAAATCATCTAGTACATGGCAGTATTGTCTACACTACAGCTAATAAATAATAAATAATAACAGTGACACATGAGAAATTAGATACATTGATGAAAACTTGATAAATCCTCATCTTAGAGAGACTATCAAAAAGAAATCCACTCATTTTGTACAGCTCCACTCTTGTTTTTGTCTTTTCTCAATTTTTATTTTTTTATTACTACTGTACATGCTTGTAATATCATGATTACATTCTTCATAGGGAGTTGGTACCTGGACACAACACATCTTAATTCTCTTTTCCTTCCCTTTCCCTCCCTTCCTTCACCCCTCTCTCCATTTCTTTGCTCCCTTCCCTTTTGCAAAAGATCTATTTCGCTATTTCTATAGCTTTACTCCTAATTACAGCTTCAGGGGAAGGAACTAGAGGATATCATCCTCTCTCAAAAGTTCCAAAACTGGAGTTACAAACCCAACGTTAGTTGGAGAGAAAAGTTTTTTTTATACAACAAATGAAATAATTGTGAAAAACTAAGATTGTGGTGAAAAAACAGAGTACTGTATCCTTAACTCTTCATAAAATACCATGGAAGGAGCAGAAGGGTATCTCTCCTCACTTCCCATAGCATCAGAGATAACATCTAATCTAGTTTCTCTAGATCGTATATTAATATATTATTAAAATCAATCTTGGGGCCAGGGATTTAGCTCAGTGGTTCTGCTGCCTGCCTTGCAAGCACAAATTCCCAAGTTCGATCCCTGGTAACAAAAAGAATTCAATCTTAAGGCTAGGGATTTAGCTCAGTGGCACTGCACCTGCCTTGCAAGCACAAGGTCCTGAGTTCAATATCCAGTACCAGAAAAAAAAAATCAATCTTAGTTATCTAGTAATTACACAGGAAACATTCTGAGAAAATAAATTGTCCAGTACTTGCACTTCTCCCTCGCTGGTGCCAACTGCCAAGCATGTTCCCTTTTTTATCCAGGACACAGAAGATACATAATTACAAGTGAGACTTAAATCTATTTTTTCAACCCTGTGGTTTTCTCCATTCCAGATGTATACAGCAGATCCAAGGGCTACAGCAACAAGATTTTGAAAACTCCAGTCTAGAACATTCAGATCTATAAGAAAAGCACATTGGGCCAGGGATTTAGCTCAGTAGTGCCGCGGCTGTCACCCAAGTGAAAGGTCCTAAGTTCAATCCCCGGTACCAAAAAAAATTTTTTTTTAAAGAAAAGCATATCAAATTAAGATAATTATACAGCCACACAAAAACATTTTTCAGTAAACAACTTATTCATACAATAGAAGAAAAAGTCAATCTCTTGCCAAGGTCAGCTGGAAAATAGAATCATCAAGCAGATCATTAGAAATTCAAAACTCAAAACTGGAATAGAATCTGGTTACAGACTCACAGTCTAATAAGCAATAATTTTTATCATTTATGCTCAAAATACACTTATTTAGAGATATTCTAAAAGCTTGGTAGATTCATCTTCCATTATTAGGATACATGGACTTCATCTAACAGATGATTGAAAAGTAAAAGTAAATAATTATTATGGAAACATCTTTGGACCTAGCTTATCTATATACAAAATGCTACCATCACTTGTAACTAAAAACACCACCAATAAATCTAGAGATAATGCTGCCTCGTTTATGTTACCTAGAAGCTAATAACTTACTCTATGTTGTCATAATAAGAATTCTGACTGCTAAGAGAAATCATGTTTGTGTAACCATTTATTAAAATTTACCCTATCTTATTTCTTATGACAGAAACTCTTATTCCAACTGATATATACCAGTACAAAGCTAAAACACACACCAGTTCCATTATAGTGACTTAAACCCCTACAATGCATCCCTCTCACTAATAATAATAATAATAATAATAATAACAAACTTTGAACAAAATATAAAAAGCAGATACCCAAAGACCCTGGAACATAAGTAAAAGGAGGTAAACTAAGTCAGGGCATCAAAACATGGAGAAGCAATCTGCCCAGGAATGACTTTCCTACCTTTTTTTTTTCCTTCTGGCTTTGCCCTGAAGGCAGGTACCAGTCAAGAGGCACTTGCCCCCAAGACTCTAGTAGAGAGAAAACCACCTTTCTAGTTAGAACCGATGGAAAGGCGGTTGCAGTGGCCAAACTGTGAGGGAAGAGATCCAGAAAGAGGTGTCTGCTAACCATGAGTATACAAGCTCACACATGTTTCAGCCCATTCCCTCAACCATGTAAGTGCAAGGGAGACTCAGAGTAGCCTAGAAAAAGCTTTGACAAATGAACAGAGATTTGAAATATTATACAACTCTCAGCCTCGACTCAAGTCCACACACAGGGGAGACAGACCCAAACCAGCATAGTCTAAGCTTAAGAAATTGATCAAAGATTTAAAACACAACCCACAGATAGCAAGATAAATTAAGGTGTGAGCCTAACTAGGGAAAAAAAATAAACATTCTCCATAGGATCCAGAGTGAATACAACATAGCATGTATAATTTCCAGGACACATTCAAAATTGGTGGATATATGTAATGGGAAAATATAATCAATAGATTGTAACTCTAAGATTACCTAGATATACGAATTAGCAGATTCCACCGCTCCCAGCCCAGAGGGAGAGGCTTTCAGGCCACTGTTGCACCGCTCCGAGCCGAGCCGAGAGGAAGGGGACTCTGGGCTGCCGTTCCACCCCTCCCAGCCCAGAAGTAGGAGCTTCTCGGCCACCTTTCCACTGCTCCCAGCTCGGAGGAGGTGAGCCCCGCAGGCACCAACAGCACCCCGCCCCCAGTCAAAATGAGAAGACACGTAAACAAGTCTCAAAACCAAACTTCCAGATCATCTACAGAAACCCAAAAGGGAACACTCTGATACTCAACCACCTGGACTCCCTGAACTGGCAACAAAAGAGGATCTGGAAAAAATGAAATAAGAAATAATTTCTCAGATAACA